CCTATTGGCACCATATGACGGTGCAGTCTAATATTCGGCTTTAAAGGGTTTTTAGAGCTGTATGAAATTTAAAAAGCACATACAATTCAGAGAAATGCATAAAATCTTTATTTAAATTGATCGTACGATTCATAATATTTAAGGTTTTAAGAATATTCCATGCAAATGTTAACCCCGACTACGCCTCAATTTATTCATCCGCTTATACCAATTTTGGCATGATTTTTTTCATAACTCCAGCCGTTAGCGCAACATGTGTTGTTAAAAAAATCACCCTTTATAAAAGCCCCAGCCAAATTTGTTAACTAAATTTTCAGTCGAGATTTTAGTGTCCGAGGAATCTCCTTACAAAATATTTTGTTTTTATAGGTCCACGTATTGATATAGCCCACTATAGCTTTCGATTTTATGTATTTTGAGTTGTATTATTTTTGTAATTTGTTCTTATTGTAGACGGTATAAAACCTCACTCTGGCCACACATAATGACATGTTCACTTCTTGGTGTTAAATTCATATTTTAAATACCAACATATTTACTTTTGCTTGAAAAATCCCCAAGGCCTTCAACAAACCTGAGAATTTTCTAATGACAATGAAGTTATTTCCTCTTAGCTATTTTGAAAATTATTTAACACTACTGCTGTTTGGCACTCGGGTTTCCTTTACTAATTTGAAAGTGATTGTTAAAGTAAACTAACATTTTTTTCTTCAAAAACTTTACATATCAACAGTTGAGGAGTGAGCTGTGTATGTATGTATGTTTTTGTAATAGACAATCTCCCATATTATATCATAATGACTGCATTTAGGTTTTTAGGTAAACACACTACAACTCTAAGCAATGAATGAGCAATGAACGTACTATGTACATAGATGTATAAGAAATATGTACCGTAAAAGTTGTTAATTAGATGCATAAACATGTAGTTTGGAATACACTACACTACATACACATTACGGCGTCGAGTACATCTGTTAACCCTTTTGACTCCGGATTATTTTCGTTTATTTGTTTGTTTGTTGTTTTCGCTAGGTAATAGAAAGAGTTTTGAGTTGAAGATTGTTATCATCACAAAACATAAAGCAGATAAACCAAACTTATTCACAGAAAACAGCATCTAATAGGAATATATAGGTGGGAAGGTATCAAAGGTAATAATATATGCACTGAACTTCTAATATACTGAAACATATTCAATTCAGTACAATGTCTGAATTATGGTGGGAAAATATTTTGGATGTAGCCCTCATGTTTTGATGTAGCCCTCATGTATCACTTAACATTCATTTCGGATGTTTGGAGGCAGAACATTTTGGTATTGAAATTTTAAATTAATTTCCAACCAAAGTTGTTGTGATTTGTCATTTAGGCTAATTGGTTTAAATATTTATAAAAAATTGGCAGAATGGGTTGATGGTTAGATATGACCACCTTTTGAATGTTCAGCCCCCATTTTCAGTATCTAGAAGAGGTATGAAAAAATCCACGATTTCTTGAAGGTTTTTAAGACCACGAATTCTTTATTTTTCTTAAAAAACAAGTAAAATACTGTCAGTCGGTGTTGCCGGCAGATATATTCTCCTAGGCTATGATTTGCGGAGGTCTTCGGAATTACACATATTATATTATTAGCTTTATATAAGAAATATGTTCTTATCAAAGAGGTTTCGGATTTAATGCTGATAAAATTTTATAAAATATTGACCATTTGTAAGGGAGGTAGCGGAAGGACTATTGGGTCCCATCTTCGGAATTGATATAGGTTTGGTAAAGACAATAGGTTGTGCAAGGTTTGGTTGTATTATGACATTCCATTCGCCTGATATTGCATTTATAAATATTGAAAATTTTTACCATTCGTGGGGGAGGTACCAGAAGGAGCGGACCAATGGGTCCCATCATTAAACTTGATTTATTCTTGGTAAAGATAACAGGTTGTGCAAAGTTTGGTTCAAATCGGACATTCCATTCGCCTGATATTGGATTTATAATATTGAAAATTTTGACCATGGGTAGTGCAAAGTTTGGTTCACGTCGGACTTTCCATTCGCCTGATATTGGATTTACAAATATTGAAAATTTTTACGATTTGTGGGGGAGATACTAGAAGGAGTGGACCAATGGGTCCGATCTTCCTACTTGATCTAGATTTGGTAGACATAATAGTCTGTACAAATTTTCATTAAAATCGGATAGTCCGTTTGCATGTTATTACAAAATAATTTTTATCTCAATTTTGACCATTTTGTGGAGGAGATACAACAAAGAGTGGACTAATGGGTCCCATCTTCCAACTTGATCTAGAATTGGCAAAGATAAAAGGTTGTACAAAGTTTTGTTCAAATCGGAGATTCCATTCGCCTGATATTGGATTTATAAATATTTTATATGTTGAGCCTCTCTGGGGGAGGTACCAGAAGGAGTGGACCAATGGGTACCATCTTGATCTAGGGTTGGTAAAGATAATAGGTTGTACAAAGTTTCATTAAAATCGGATAGTCCGTTTGTATGTTATTATAAAATTAAATTTTTGCCCAATTTTTACCGTTTTTTGGGAGATGTACCAGAAGGAGTGGACCGATGTTCCCCAACTTCCAATTTGAACTATGTTTGGAAAAAAATATTAAGATGTGCAAAGTTTGGATGAAATCGATTATACCCTTCGAGAGTTATCGTACACAACAGCCAGTCAGACAGACGGGCAACGCACGGACGGATGGACATGGCTAAATGGGGTCTAAAACCAATATTTCGATTAGGCACATTTACACCGTATCAAATTGTATATATCCTCTTTTTTTAAATCTCTTGAAAAAATATAAATTTTTTTATTTTTGCATGTATGATGGGTTCTGTCCAATGAAGACCCTTATTGTTTTTGGTAATGATATGTTAAACCTTATGGGATGAAATGGACCAAAAACTTTATTTTTGTTTGATTATCTGATCCCTCCAGAGACCGCAATTATGGCCCGAACATCGCGAATTGTTACATGGTGAAGAGGATTGAGCTAAGGAATAAGCATGCATGTATTGATAAAGATCGGTCAGTATATAGCGGGTCAAATGAACCCTGACTTTTGTGTGAAAAATGACAAAATTTGTATTCTATAGCGTATATATTTATCCCTGAAGCACATAGACCCTAGACGTTGATAGTATATCCAAGAGGAGTGGTTGGTCTTTAAATTTATTATAATAATTAATTATAGTGTAGTTTACTCGGATGTGGGAGTTACACATGGTGATGATCAGAGAATAATATTGGATGCTCCGCTTACGGGTTAACATTTTGAAAAGTTGGATTATTTTTAATATTTTTTTCAGAAAATATTTGTTTTATTAAAGTACTATTTAAAAAATCCCTTGAAAAAAATAATTGAAAAATATTACAATTTTTGAAAATATTAATTTGTTAATAGTATTTTTTTATAACAAATATTTTTAGATTCAGTGATTTTAGATGTTTAATAAAAATGTAGATCTTAAAAAATATCATCTCAAAATATAAATTTTTAAAACATGTTTTTCAAGACATTGTGGATTTAAAAAAATGATTTTTTTAAGAAAAAATAAATACTTCAAGAAATCGTGTTAAAGTTAATTAATTAATAAATATGGCAGAGGGTATAAAAAATTTGGTTCGGGGTGAACTGAAATATTTTTCAAGCCGAGTTTTTATTTAAAATTTCTTTAATTAAAAAAATCGCAATTACTTTTTTTTAAATTCAGATCTTCCTTTAAAAAGGATACAAAAAATCCACGATTTTTTAAGACATTAATTTGTATATTTTTTTTCTTAAATAATTTTTTTTTTACATTCACGATGTCCTAAAAATAGGTTTTAAAACTTTTTTAAATTCTACATTAAAAAATATATATTTGTTATTAAAAACATTTTAAAAATCTTTTGAAAAATATTTTAAAAAAAAATTTTTTATCACCATAAAAAATATTTTCATAAAAATCCACGATCAGTTCATTTATTTTGAAATTAATGATATTGTTTTTTCAATACAAGATTTCTAGATTTTTTTTTAAATTACCATTTCTTCAACAATATTTTCATCATTAAAATTTTTTTTTTAATAAATATTTCGTTTTATAAATCCAACATTTATAACATTTAATAAAAAATGTTTAAAAATATTTTAAATTATTTTTTATATATATTTCCGATGTGTTATTTTGTTATATTATTGAATATTCAACAATTTCTTTAAAAAAAGTTTTTTCAAAATCTCCATTTTGAAGTCCACATTTTCATAATTTTCCACTGAGTTTTTTTTTCTTATATATAACAAAAATTATTGAAAATAATATTATAAAGACACCTAAGATTTTTGATAGTTTATTAATATCTGCAAAAAATGTTCATTCTTCACTAGTTGTTGTTTTGAAATTTGTTTAAAACATAATTTTTAATTTCTACTGAATTTTCTTTGAAAAATTATTTACTAAAAAATTATTGCTTAGAAATTCTGCAATATCATCGTTCTTGAAAATATTTTTTTATCTATCAAACCTTTATTGCTATCTGAAAAAAATAATACAAAAAACAAGCAATTTTACCCCATGAAAAAACATATTTCCACGCTTTGTTAAAACTTATATTTTTTTAGAAACAGTCACTTGAAGAAATAATTTATATAATAGTCCACGCTTTGTTTTAAAACAATTGACAAAAAAATAAACTTTCTTTACAAATTATGGAAGAGAATTTTCACAAACAATTATTTTTCACAATAATTGTCATAATTTTAAATTTAAACACAATTATTATTTAGTACACAAAGAAGTAATATACAGTCAACAGCCATGTCACACAAACTGTTTGTATTTTTTTTTTGTGGTAATTTTTGTTATAATTTAAAAACTGCTAATTATTTTTTCACTTTCTTCGAACTTATAGTTATTCAATTTTTTTATTCACTTCAACCTTTAATTTAATTCTTTTCAATATATGCTTTATTTTTTTGTAATTTCCCATCTCTTACCGTTATCAATGATGCATCCTCCAGTACATCCGATTTAAGGTTACGACCGCCACCGGCCAAATTGCCATTACTCGACAGCAGGACACTATTCAAAAGATTCTTAAAACTCAGCGATGTGTATGAGCTGAAGGGCGAAAGTATGGTAAAAGCCATTGAACTTCCGACTAGCTGTAACACAAGTAACGCGTACAAGATAATGGCAATTGGCCAGAGGCCACTACGGCCAGCAACACCACGAACACTGCGACGACGACCACCATCACCACAACCAAATAGCCGATATATAATTTCACTTTTTTTCAATGATTTTCCAGAGTAACGTTGGCGGTCATGATTATTATTGATGATGGTGGTAGTAGTTGATACTGCTGTTGTTGTTGTAGTATTGTTGAGGTTTTTCATCATCATTGTTGTTGTTTGCTTCTTCTTTTTTTGTTTTTCCACCTCTTTCCTTTCTTTGTGATTTTTTATCTTCCTTTCTTCAATTTGAACAAAAAATAAACTTTTCTTTTAACGGCAAAAGAAAAGAAAAACTTTTTTTTCGAAAACACAACACAATATTATCTATGACAGTGTAACAGATATATCTTCTCGTTACGATATTCGAAAATACAACAAAAACAACTTTTATTTTGGCAAATTATGCCTTTGGGTCAAATACAAAAAAAAAAAATCACTGGGGGAAAACTTTATCTTCAATCAATGAAAAATTTATAATTTAAATTTTCTTTTCGGTTTTTCACAATTCAAAATTTAGTAACGGTCATTGAGGGGTAATATTTTTTTTAGATTTTCTTTTCACCATATAGTTATTGCTTTTTTGTTTTCATACGATTTTTCATAAACAATTTTTCAATTTTCTTTTTCCTTGTGTTTTTCTCGCTTTCATCCACAACGCTTTTCAAACGTTTGTTTCAGACACTTTTCTTGGGGTTTCTTTGAATCGCTTCGAATAAACTTTGTGCACCGTTTCGACTGCTCCTCTTGAGCTCTCAGCGTTGACTGTTGTTTGTTGCGGTCCGGGTTTAAGCCAAGCTTTGGTTTTATTTACACCTGTTTGTTTTGTTATTGTAGACTTTGTGGTTTTTGCTTTTTTGTTTTTTCTTTTTTGTCAAACAAACCGCATAGCTTGCTTGGCCAACTGACTAGCTAGACACTGCTGATCCAAGCCAAAAAAAAGATCTTCACAACATGTTGTACGGGCGCTTCGTTGCATGAAATAAATCCATACCCGAGCAAAAGGTTTGATTCGAACTCCAACATGAATAATGTTGTAATGCTGGTCGTCGTATTTTTTGGTTATTCTGATGATCTGAATTACCGCACTATCGTCGTCGTTGTCGATCGTGTGGTATTGGTGCTGCTGCTGCCTGATGTTTGTTTGGTTCGGTTGTATTGTTTGTTGATATGATTTCCGGTTTTCCGAACTTCTTAATATGGAGTAACACACTGCATTGTATTCAAGCGGACACTGACCTTGACCTCATTTCTTCGAATACTGGCCAAAACAAAGCGGCTAATGGAATTTTTATTGCTGAAGAATATACGAACACATGGACAGGATATTTCAGATAATGGGTGGCGTATGTATGTATATACGTACAATAGATTACTATTTTGGAGGGTATTTTTTTATTTGACCCAGAATTATGTGACCTTTGCTAATAGCCATCTTAAACTGCAAATTTTATTTGAGGAAAGTATAAAAGAGTTATCTTCGGTTTGGACAACGTGTTTGTATAATCCCTATTTTTATACCTTGAGCATTATGGCTAATTATCTTATATACACCATGCTACGGTAAAATGAGCTTGGTTCAAATATTGGTTTTAGACCCCATGTTTCTTTGGCCCCAATTCGTTTCAGACAACTTGGAGTCGATTTACAAAAAGTTCGGCCGTTTGCCAGACTGGTGCTCATGATAACTCTCAAAGGGAGCAACCGTTTTCATACCAACTGTGCACATGTTAATATTCCTTCCACCCTTAAATCAAGTTCGAAGATCGTGAATATCGGTTCACTACTTCCTGTACTTCTCCTAAAAAATGATCAACATTTTCCAGAAAATTTATTCTATAATAAATCGTAATATATTTACCTTACCTAGATTATGTCCGATAATTAGACCGCTCCTTCTGGTATTTCCCCCACAAAATCATCAGAATGTGGATAATTTTATTTACACAACTTAATATTTTAACCACCACTGTATAATGTTCAAAGATGGGACTTATCGGATGGGACCTGTGTCAAAATTGTTTATACCTTCAACCTTATGGCTAATAAGGGCATATACACTTTCATACGGTGAAAATGTGCCTGATAGAAATATTGGTTTCAGAAAATTTGGAGTCGATTTACACATATCCGTCCGTCCGTTGTCCGGCTGTCTGGTGCGCACGATAACTCTCGATGGAAATAATCGGTTTCACCCAAACTTTGCACATCTTAATATTTCTTCCACACTTAGTTTACGTTCGAAGATGGGGAATATCGGTCCACTCCTTCTGGTACTTCCCACGCAAAATGGTATCCTATTTAAACCAAATTTTGTACAACATATTATCTTTACGAAGCGTAGAATACACATTGGTCCACCCTTTCATGTACCTCCCACACAAAAGGGTCAAAATTTTCAATGTTTATAAATTCAATATCAGTGAATGGAATGTCCGATTTGAACCCAACTTTCCACAACCTATTTTATTTAAGAAGCCTAAATCAAGTCCGAAGTTGGGAAGGCAGATCTTCTCTTCTGGTACTTCCTCCAAAAAGGGTCAATATGATATAATCTTGTAAGTTTTATTTCAATAACCTAATTGATCGACATTAATTCTGAAACATCATTGATAAAAACATATACCTTATATAAAAAGATTTATAAGACCTGTGTGTAACTCCGAAAAAACAATATCGGTCCAAATTTAGGTATAACCCCATATAACGGTACTCCCAATTTTCAGTCAATTTGGGATTTTCTACCCGTGTTTTCAACCGAATCCGCTGTATTTTGGCATTTTAGATTTCTATTTGATTAACAAATCTCCCTAACAGAAATTATTAATATTCGCCCTCTTTAGGAAGTAGTCTCCATATAATTTTTTTTTATATTAAAATAGTTAACTGATTTATCTCGCGTATTGGGTTTGTACCCATATATATATTCTGTACTCCAAATTAAAAGTTTATACCCCACAATGTACGAAATTCATACTACCTTCCGAGTGTATCGAGATACAAAAATAAAATTCAAGTTTGATAATGTGGTATATCGAGATATGAAACTAAAATGTTAGCTTCGAAAATGAGCCATATCGATCCACTTTCAGACGTCGCATCCCTTATAATTATACCTTCTCATTTTTGGTATTTCCTACCAGAGGTAATCAATATATGCCCCCCTTATGGTATATCCTCATGTAAAAAAGCCTTATAAATTGCAGTATTTGAGGATATTATACACATGTTAGCCCTCCCTTGTGTTTTCAATATCGGACCATGTCTGAGATTTTAGAAAAATCTTAATTAAAAATTGCCGAAATTTGTATTCCGTGGTTTTACAGCATTCTTTTAGAAAAATCGCCATTTTTACGTATCCCCTATATTGTGATACCGCCCATTTTTCATGAACCTTTGTGAGGAAGGTACCAGAAAGTGTGGACCGATGGGTTCCATCTTTTGAAATAATCTAGGTTTAATATTTAAAATATTTCGATGTGCACAGTTTGGGTAAATTTAGATAGCTTCATATAATATTTGGGTGACATCGGGTATGATAGATACAAATCAGCGCCTCTGATTGGCTTAAAATGGCAAAGCCCCGGCTTATCATGGTCCCTTTTTCATCTCAATTGTGGAAAATGTTGCTCACACTCGGAAAACTTCTCCTCCTATGAAAAAGAAAAATCCCGGTCTGTATTGTAGCTGCTATAAAACGAGACATGCATTGGGTGCGGATTTATGGTTATGGTTAGCGAATTGTTAACCTCAAAGTGAGGCACCAGCGAAATTCTCATGCAGTTTATGTCGTTGGTCAGCTAAGTACTTCGCTTTGTTACAAGAGACATTTGGGTTTGAAAGGTTTTTTGTATAGAAGCAATAGCTTCTGGGGAGAATATCCCAACAAAAAACTAAGGGAACTGATGAGGATCAGTGGCGTGATCCGAAACTATAGTCTTCCCTGCAAACAATGCCATACATTCCCCACTAATAAATAGTTGTTTTTATAAAAAAAAAACTGGGATTCAGCCAGACTATTTTGCAAAAACAAGTTAGCGAATTTTTATAATCCGTATAAAATCGAAGTTCTTCTACAGTTCTTCTCATTCGCGCTTATGCTCCGACGGAAGAAAAATTTGAACAGACCAAAGACATGTTTCACGAGCGCCTAGAAACAGCATATGACCGTGTCCTGGCCATGACATTAAAATTCTTCTAGGATATTTGAATGCAAAAATTAGAATGGAAAATATTTTTGGCCCCACCGTCGGAAAATTCAGCCTCCATGAAGAAACATCAGACAAGGGCATGAGGTTGATTGACATAGTAGTAAGCAGACTCCTGGATTTCTCCTGGTCAAGCAACGAGAAATCAAATTAATCATGTTGTGGTATACCAAAGGCATATCGAATACCTTGTGGAAGCCAAGGTTCACGCCCGTCTTAGTGTAGCAGCAAAGGTGCGATCTAATGTAACATGGAAATTCAACGTCGAAAAGCTGCTAACACAACAGATCTTCTGCTATCTACCTACTCCGTTCCCCAATAAGAGATGATGTATACCACCTAGCCAATATGAGGTCAGAGTAGCAATCAGTCGGCTGAAGAATAATAAAGCAGCAGGTGCTGGTGAGTTACCAGCCGATTTATTCAAGCCGGTGTCAGATGGTGGTCAGAGGCATGCACCAGCTGATTAGTACAATTTGACTCGAGGAATACATACCCAATGATTGGAACCTCAGCATCCTGTGTCCCGTGCACAAAAAAGGAGACATGACGATACGTGCCAATTATAGAGGAATAAATCTCCTTCCCATCGCATGTAAAGTGCTATCCAGCGTGCTGTGTGACTGACGCCACAAAAAACCGCATCTGTAATTCCTGTATTTCTTCTATAAATTAATTTATGTTTCTCTTTCCGACATTTGATACTATATAATATGATTATTTTTTAAATTTATACATTTCAATTAAGACGAATTTGTGATTTTAAAATATAAGTTTCATAAAAATAATCCCTA